TCCCTCCTTCCCTCTCTCTCTCCTCCTCCTTCCCTCCCTCTCTCCCTTCCTCCTTCTCCCTTCCCTCCTTCCCTCCCTCTCTCGCTTCCTCCTTCTCCCCTTCCCTCCTTCCCTCCCTCTCTCCCTTCCTCCTCTCCCCCTTCCCTCCTTCTCTCCCTCTCTCCCTTCCCCCTTCCCCTCCCTCTCTCCCGTCTTCTCTCCTTCCCTACTCTCTCTCTTTCTCCGTCCCTTTCTCTCTTTCTTTCAGGTAGGGTCTTGCTCTGTAGTGTAGGCAAGAGTGCAGCCTCAAACTCCTGGGCTCAAGTGATCCTCCTGCCTCAGCTTCCCAAGTAGCTGGGACTACAGGTATGTGCCATGATGCCCAGCTAATTTTTCTGTTTTTTGTAGAGACAGTATCTTGCTCAGGCTGGTTTTGAACTCCTGACCTCAGGCCATCTTCCTGCCTCGGCCTCCTAGAGTGCTAGGAACACAGGCAAGAACCAGCACACCTGCCGTTTTTGTTCTTTAAGGCAGAGTTACAACTGCAGAAGTTATAGTTCTCAGGCAGTAAAAGTTAAGAATGAGGGGCTGAGGGGCACCCTACACAGACTGTTGTCTGCTTACCTCCTGCACCCACAGGAATATTGCTCAGCGCTACTAAAGAAGGCTGCTGTCCTGGTTTCATATCCCTGCCCCTCTGGATGGCTGGGCCACACCTTCTAGGGAGGGCAGGGTCTCCCTCCCAGGCTGTAGAGAGGCCTCCAACTGTCTCTCCTGAAACCACCCGGTTCTTCCTTCTAGGAAGGAGCTGTCTGTGCACCGGCTTGTGAGGCCCAGGGGTGCAGTGAGGTGAGGCGGGTCCCACAGGAGCCAAGCTCTGGCTCCCCATGGCCAGTTTCCCCGACCTTCTGCGGCTTGGCTCAGAGAAGGGTCGGTGGGAAAGGTGTTGTTCTGGTTCTCTGAGGACACACCTGTTCTGGGACCTACTTGATTCCATAGGGTCTGTCTCCTGGTAGGTGCTTGGCGAGAGCTCCGACCAGAGCCTGGACTCTCACCGGGGCTCAGACTTGCTGAGCCTCCCACTCCTGCCTGGGGTGTGTCCCGTCTCCTCGGCCCACAGTCTTCCCCATCCGATCCCCTGCCCCTGGGGTGGGTGAGGGTCCCTGGTGAGTGGCATGCTGCAGCCACCAGGCCGTGTTCCTTGACCAGACCTGGTGGGGCCCACGCAATCTTGGGCCTCTGAGATTTCCTTCTTTTTAGCATGTGTAACTTAAAACTACACAAATAAGAAACCACTGTGGAAAAATTAGAATATTCCAAAGAGCAGGAAGAGAAACAAATGTCCCTCCATCCCAACATCACGCAAGGCTGCTTTTGTTCCTCCATGTGTTTTTTTTCTTACCCAAATAGGATCTCTCTTCTGGAAACTCTTCTCCCTTCCTCCCAATAGCCCCACATCTCTCACTGTCACTCATGGCGGCTCAGCGTCCATCCTGTGGGTGTGGCGTCTTTTATTTAAGGACTCTGGGCATGGAAGACACATCCTTCCCTTATCTCTGTCCCCAGGGCCGTTGTGTTGGGTGGGTGCTGGGGCAGGAGGGGAGCGGCTACTTGGGCTGCTGAGGGAGGAGGGGCTTCTCTTTCCA